AAAAAATTATTGCGGCACAAACGAAAATTTTTGTTACACTAATTTTGTCTAATTTGAAGAAGTTGGGGGGGCTGGTTGACCTTTTGACCTTTACATTTTCATTAATATCTTTAAAGCCAAAGCAGCACAAACGACAATTTTTGCTGCACAAACCAGCACAAATGGAGCTGAGTTAATTGACACCCATTTCGTCTGATTTGAAGAAGGTGGGGGGGCTGGTTGACCTTTGATGACCTCTAGAAATATTTCTTTATATCTTTGAAACGATAGCGACACAAACGAAAATTTTTGCTGCACAAACCAGCACAAACGTTTGACACTAATTTTGTCTGATTTGAAGAAGCTGGGGGGTGGGGTGGGTGGGGGGCGGCAACTTCACTCAGGTAGTCAAACGCCAGCCGAATGGCAGCCCACTTCCCTGCAGCTCCCAGCAAAATCCCCTCCAACTTCCAACCTCTGGCCTTCTCCTGGGCGTTCATATATTTTCTCTTTAGATCTTAATGTCCACAAATCATGACAGAAAGAATATTTTGGTACAAAGATTGAAGTTTAAAAATAAATTGTAGGGGACCAGCCAAGGGCCCATCAAGGAAAGTGGAGACATTTTGAATGGCTACAACTGTATGCTCTGCTTTGTGTTGAAATATGAAATCTGATTTAGATTTTTGTTATTGTTGCAAAATGCAGCTCCATTCACAACTAAGGTACTGCGATGGCCAAAGAGACAATTTAAAACATCCAACAGCATTTTTTTCTGGTACCAATATTAAACCGATACCTCTGCTACATCCTCTGCTGTCTGACCGAGGGTTTCAAAGATCTGGTTGTAGTTCTTCAGGTAGATGTTTGTGAACATGTCGGCAGTGATTTTATCGGCTTTGCTGAGGTCCGTCTTCATGCCTTCTTCGTAAACCTTACGCTCAAACTCTGTGATCACTGGACCTGGTTCTATCAGGCTGATGCTGGAGGATAAGGTGAACAACAGAACAGGAAAATAAGTGATATGAGGAAATGCTTCATGGAACAGTCATTCCAGTAACCTAACCAGCCCTATTCTTTGTAGTAACATGTAGTTACTAAATGATGTTGAGAAACCGACTGGTGTGGTGTTACAGCCTGCCTCATGACATATTTTAGCCAAGATGATCATTTCATTTTGAAGCATGTCTGCACAGGTGCTCTGTTTATTAACAGGGGTGGATTTAGGAAA